TGTGAGAGATGGTGTTCCACTCCTTTTCTTCACTCTGTATTCTATGTTTAATCTGTGTGAGTGATCTAGTTTTTGTCTTTGCCATCATCTGGTGTTATCACTATTTTTTAAAAGATGTTTTAATTCTGGTAAAATATTCATACAAATTCCCTTTTATTTTTTTTATTTTTGTGGTGCTATGGATAGAATCCAGGGTCCTCACACACACTAAAAGCAAGTGGTCCACCACATCCCCATTCCCAAATTTGCCCTTAAAGTGTACATTTCTAAGGCATTAAGTAGAATCATAATAATATATGACCACTACTGTTTGTTTCTAGAAGTTCTTCATCTTTTTATCATCCCAAACCCAAACTGTACCCCTAAAGTAATACATTACTCCTTTTCCTCATCTTCTAGTACCCTCTAGCCTACTGTCTATAGATTGCCTATTTTAGTTATCTCATGTAAGTGAAATCATAAGTTTGTCTTTTTGTGCCTGACATTTTATTTTATATAGTGTCTTTAAGGTTTATCCACATTGTAACATGTGCCAATTTCTTTTTATATTTCCTTTTTTTCTACTTTTTAAGGCTGAAAACACTATTGAATGTATATTCTGTATTTTATTTATCTATTCATTTGTAGATGGTCATTTTTTTTCCCTTTCAGCTACTGTGAACAATGCTGCTGTGAACATTGTATGATATATATAAGTTTGAGTCCTGCTTTCAGTTCTTTTGCCTGTATGCATAAGGGTGGTACTTTAGCTAAATCATATAATAATTCTATGATTAACTTTTTGAGGAATTGTCAGACTTCTCCACAGTGGCTGTACTGTTCCCGTCAGCAGTGCACAAAGGTTCTGTTCATATCCTCACCAACACTTGTTATTTTCCTTTTTAATATTTAAAAAAATAGTTCCTCAATGAATGTGAGGTAGTGTCTCATTGTGGTTTTGGCTTTATTTTCCTGAAGGTTAATGATGTTCAGCATCTTTTCACGTACTTACTGGCCACTTATATACTTTGAAGGAATGTCCTTTGCCCATTTTTGAGTCTGCTTGTTTTTTTGTGGGTGAATTGTGGGAGTATTTTTTATATATCCCTTTATATTTATGCTTTTCAGTACTTTCACTCTAAGTTGTCTTTACCCTTTGTTGATGGCTCCCTTTAAGCATAATTCTTAACATTTTGAACGAAGTCCAGTATACCTATTTTTCTTTTGTTGCTTGTGCTTTTGGTATCATATCCAAGAAATCATTGCCAAATCCAGTGTGAACATTTTCCTGTTTTCTTGTAAGAGTTTCATAGTTGTAGCTATTATGTTTATATTTTAGTCCATTTTGAGTTAATTTTTATATATGAAATATAACAAAAGAGCCCACCTTCACTATTTTTTCATATGTATATCCATTTTTTCCCATCATCATTTTGTTAAAAAGATGTCCCTTCTCCACTGCATGATGTTGACATCCTTATTGTAAATTATTTGAAAATCATGTGAAGGTTCATTTCTGGGATTTCTGTTCTATTTCATTGTTCAGTGTATCTACTTTTATACTTTTTCCACACTGTTTTGATGTCTGTAGCTTTATAGTAAGTTTACATTCAAACATTGAAGATAACCATAAAGATGAATAAATATGGTGACTGTTTTTTAAAAAACTGAAGTGTAAGCTCTGAGAACAAAGAGTTTTATATTTTGTTTATATCATCCCTAATGTCTAGACCAGTCTCTATCATATAATACTTGCTAAATAGAAATTGCTCAGTAAATGGATCCTCCCATTTGTCATATGGGATAATTATATTTAAAATTCATATGGGATATTATATGATGGAATCCTCCTATCAGCTTAGAATCTGATGGACAGGACAAGACTAGACATGAAAATAATAGGAACAAGATTTGTTAGGTTAGCAAGTTTTTTGTTTTTTTTTTTTTTCCTTTCTTAAAAAACCCTTTCTTAGTTCTAAATATTGTCATCTCGGTGTGAGTATTCTGATAGCATGGGATTTGGGGGATGCACATCTAAACTTCAGCAACTACTACTTCAAGCTGCCCTACAGACTCACTTCTTAACTGGGTATGTTAAGATCTTATTCCTAGTATTTTCCACATGAGTTAACTTATGTTGTCTGCAAGTGTAAAGTTCATGGCTTGAAATCCTCATAGCACAATTTTTAAAAAATGTTCTTATTACTAAATTTAAAAGTGGAATTCTAGGCTATTGGAGATGGACAGACTTAGGAGTTTTAGAATACTTATAAATTTAAGAATTGTTTAGGAATAATGTGAGAATTCTGAGAAAGAATTCTCAGCTTGAACCTTATCAGATCTTGGGCCCAGTTGTTACAGTTAATCCCTTGCCTTGAAGCAGTTCTCTATTCTTGAATCTTCTTGGGACTTATTCTTTCTTAGGATTGGCACAAAAAGCTGCCTGTGAAACTTATCTGGTATAGAAGGACAGGAGAGAAATTACTCCAAGCCTCCGATATGAAATGCAGAACATTCACTTTTGTTCCAATTTTTATATAGCACCTTCCTTTTCCTCAGTGTAGAGGAATAAAAGAGATGATTATCTCCACTATTTGAGGTTATTACTTTAGTTTCTTTTAGGTTGTGTCACAGGAGAGTGAGGAGTTGAAGCTTCAAACCTCAGTTTCTTGTATCTGATGAAAGAGAATGTAAAGTCAGACATGAAAAGCCAAGCAAGAAAAATTTTGTTGTAAGTGAAAGTGATACTCAAAGTATGATTTGGGGAGCGGGGCAGGGCATAGAGAGGGGTCTAAGCAGAGAATTACAAAGAAAACCATATTGCTTCTAAATTTATTATTGTTTGATGTTTACCAGGAGAACTAGGACCCACCTTCTGTACTCATTGCCAATCACTTGTTTCACTCCTCCTTTTTGTTGGGAAGGGGAGGTTTTGACCCTAGTTGATCTTCTCCAGAACTATCAAGGAGACCATCACACACAGGGGCTTCATCTTCAAGTCATTTAATGTTAATATGAGTGTTGGGGGTCAACTTCATCTTAAAGTGCTTTACTAAAGAAATTTCCCTTCTGAAATACATTGAGAAACCTATAACTAACAGTACAAAGATCCCAGTAGACTCTGTCAGGATTTAGCACCATTGATCTTTCCTTCTGGACATTTTTCTTGATTGGTTCCCTTTGTTTTCACCTGTTTATTCCCAGGTTAGTATACCTGTTGTATTTCTACAAGTTACTTGATTGTTCACTAAAGTCAATTCAAAGAAACCCTGGGACCCTGCTGCAATGTTGTTGGCTCATGTCCCATTGCTTAGTACTATTATCTAACAGTTTTAAGAAACAAATTGGTTTAGTTTTCCTTAGATATTTATTGTGGAGATATATATCTGTTGGCCTTCCATGAAAATTGATACTGTGCTGACTCTAGCTATTGTAGTGCCTACTTATCCTCTTGTCCACCAGACGTTGCCATTTTTAATATTTCTACCATTTTGATGAATCTACTTACCTCTCCTAGTAATCTGCGTCTACTCTATTTCTCTTCTGGCCATGGCTCTCCAATTTATTTTGTCCTCTTGGCTTGTTACTTATTAGAGAAAGGATATAACTGGGCTATGCAGTTGCTATCTAGTTGGGCAGTGCTCTTATGAGTCACCTCTTAGGCCTCTGTGACAGTCTTTGGGTTGGATGCTTATCCCTGGTCAAAGTTACTTGAAATCAGAATTTTGGTGTCATCTAAATCATAGTGATCATACTGAAAGAACTGTTGTCACTTTCCTTATAAGGAGCCTTGTCAGATACTTAGGGCATTTATATTATTCACCCATTAATAGGCTCCTGGGAGCTTTCAGACTAAAGGGGAAGTAGAAAGTGCTGCACATGCATTGGGTGTATTTTTGGTCTTCAGAAGGAGTTATCCAAAACAAAATATCTTTAGTTGTCCTGGCCGTATAGCCCTTTGTAGAAGTAGTGCTTTAGAAACTAGTAGCAACTCAGGTATATTATATTTCTGTTTTCCATTTCTTTGTTTAAATGAGAAAGAAAGGATCAGAATGTATAGCTGGACATGAATGCATGTAGCTGGACCATTAAATAAAATATAGAAAGGAAAAAATGGATTGTTTTGGCCAGCAGCCTACTAATGTACAGGGAATTGGAAGGCAGCTCAGAGTAGCAAGTCTCTATTCACATTTTCTTTCCAGCAGAGTTATGAACATAACCAGAGATCTCAGTAAGAGTTTTCTCTAGTAAGACCTTTTTTGGGGTTGCCACATTTCTTAGAGGCCAAGTAGCTGAAGGATGATATTTTTTTTAGGTGTTGATATGCCTACTTGATCATCTCTCTAAAATTAGTTGAGAAATTTTGAAACCAGGCAAGTAGTGTATCTTGATTTCATTACTAGTATAAACAGCTTCATGAAATCACAGTACTGTTATCTTTTTCATTTCCACAAAGACTGATGCAAACTTATTCATGGACTGGAAACACTAGGTTAGATGAAAATACTGTGATGTGGACTCTGAGCTGGTTGAGAACTCTCTAGGGTGGTGATGATTAACCCTCTCTAGGGTTGATGTCATCCTGAAGGGGTGGGGTAATCCAGACCAAGAGTTTGGAATGTGTGATGTAGCACCAACAGCACTTTTGCTGGCCTTGAAGCCTAGAGGAAAGGGGAGAGGCTGGGAGGCGTGGCAAGAGAAGGCCCCTGCAGATATGATGAAGATTGAGATTCTAAGTAAGAAGGGAATGATTAGAGAAAGGTTTAGAGCTTCTTGAGGGCTTTTTACTGGGACTAAGAAGGAGAGTGCATTTGTAGAACTCATTTCTTGGTTCCTTTCGGAGAAGTTCAGGCTGAAAGGAAAGTAGTCAACTTGCTAAGAGACTTTGTTTTGAAATATATTTTCCATCCCCTATGGTTAGGGACTGTAGCTTACATAGAAGGTTAAATCCTGATCTCAGTCCAAGGGTTTTTCTGAAGTATAGAGATGCCCTGTTTCTGATTTGATTTTTCTTTTTCCTTTCAGGCTGCCTGATAGGGGCTGTGAATCTCAAATCCAGCAACCGAAACCCAGTAGTGCAGGAATTTGAAAGTAAGTACATAGAGACACTCTGAGGAGAATGGGTACCCTCTAGTGGACACTTGGTAGTCTTGCAGTCAACTTCGGGACACATCTGTATTGCGCAGGGCAGCTACTTAGTGTGCCTGTGGCGAGAAAGCAGCACATTAGCAGGCCTGCAGTACATGCTGTGCAGGTTTTACATTGGATACCATTCCTTTCTTGCCTGCTTTGTGCTCACTCAACAAAGAAGTTTCTTATATAAATCAGGGTTAGGAAAGCTGTGCTCTCTAAGATCCTTACTAATGTCTTAATTGTTTTTCTGGCAAAATCTCATCTTTTTGCAAAGTCTTTTGGAACTTTGAAGGTATTGGCTGGGTTTATAATCTGCATAAAAGGGCTTTTAAACTAGAGATGGCTTACAGGGTCTGGTTATACTTGTGATCTCAGAAGTGTTCCACATTCACTGAGTGTTCATTTTTTTTTTTTCCTTTGCTTATTAGGTGTAGAATTGTCTTGTATCATTACGGATTCACAGACAAATGACCCTAGGATTGAATGGAAGAAAATCCAAGATGACCAAACCACATACGTGTTTTTTGACAACAAAATTCAAGGTATGATCTTGGAGTACTTTTGCCTGTTAACCTCTCCTTTGTCCACAGGCCTGGGCATGCACTTATGGCCAGCAGGATTGATAACCTAAATGTGTAGCCAGGACTGTTTTCATTTTTAAAATTTATTATGGAAAATTTCAAACATGCCAAAGTATTGAGAATAGTGTACAAACCTCCCTGCATCTGCCACTCAGCTTTAACAAATATCAATTCATTAGTTAGGACTTTATGCACAACACATCTTTTTGAGGAATTACAGTGAAAGTTTTCTCTCCTCTGCTGTCTTCTTGTCATGACCTGTGACAGGAGTGATATAAGGAGTGTATCGGACTCAGGTGTTTGTGGAGCTACCCATCATGTCCCAGGCTTGGTGCTAGGGCAGAGACAGCACTGGGCAAGCACAGGGTGTCATGGTATGACACAATGTGGGAGGAGCATGGTGGTCAAGGAGGTGGCACCTGGGCAGTGTGGGTTGGGGGAGAGTGGGCAATTAACCAGGCAAGGGGAAGTATAAACAAATCAGGGCAGGAAAGAATGCTTCTATGTGAAGACATAGAAGCAGAGAGCTTGACTGATAGGAGTACAGTTTTCTACCACAGCTGGGGCTTGGGCAGGGAGAGGAGGAGGAGATGAGGAGATGAAGCCGGTACACTGATTGCCAGGTTAGCCCACCAGAGATTCTGAGGGGAAGTTCAGTGGTCATATTTATGCTTTAGAAGATTGAAGTTTTGCAAGGAAGAGGTTGGGGATAGGGAAAACTTGGAACAGAGTGCAAGTGTCATGTCAAAATTATAGTACCTGGAGGAAGCTAAGGTGGCCTGAACTGAAGCTAATGGTATCTGCAGTAGAGATTCAAGAGAGGAACCACTAGGACATCGCTGTGGGAGTTTGCCAGAAGGCCGGGGAGCAGCGGCATGGAGTAGAAGGACATCACCTTTTTTTTTCTGACAGAGAAGGAATTATCAGAAGGTCAGTACAGGTAGAGTCAGATTTTCAGAGAAGCTGAGTGTTGAGAAAGATTTATGGAAATAAACTATGGTCATTTTGATTTGTGTTCTAAATATCATCAGAAGTCATAGGCTCTTAAAAACAGTATTGTTTTGCTCACTCACATGGGACTTTCCCTCACCCCCTATATTTAAAGAGATTGGAATATTACTCTGGGGGTAGGGAGCTGTTTTCTTTGGCACTTAAGCTGCCCCTGCTGAACTGTACATACAATTTAGATCATCAGAGAAACCAAGTGAGAAACTCTTTAAAGGATTTTCTCTTCTGGGAATTAAACATCTTACTTTTAGCCCTAGGGATGGGGAATGCAAAGAAGAGAATTCACCAAGCAGGACGCGAGGGCTAGAGGAAGACTTGAGTCTACTTTATCTCTTCTTGTATCTTGAGGCAGGACAGTATCAAAACCACTCTGCTGTGTCTCACCCTTTGATAGTGAACAGTTCGGTGGTTTGCTAGTATATTCACATAGTTATGCAGCCATCATCCCTATCAAATTCCAGAATATCTTCATCATCCCTGAAAGAAATCCCATCACTATAGCAGCCAGCCCCCAACTCCATCTCCCAGCAAAGCCCTTCGTCAGCTTTCTGTCTCATATCAATGTAATCTTACCTTATGTCTGGCTTCTTTCATTTAGTGTATTTCCATGATTCACTCGTAGTGTAGCATATGTTAGTACCACATTCCTTTTTATGGCTGAATCATTCCATTGTAGGTTTACCACATTATTTTATCCATTAATCAGTTGATGTACTTTTTGAGTATTACCAGTAATACTGTTATGCACATTCAAATGCAGATTTTTGATTTCTGAGGTTTTCATTTCTGAGGGATGAATGACAAGTACAATCATAGGGTCATATGGCAGTTGGATGTTTAATAATTTTTAGAAACTGACAAATTGTTTTTCAAAGCCGCTTTATCATTTGAAATTCCCATCAGCCATCAGCAATGTGCTTCCCATATCTTTACCAACACTTGTTATTATCTGCTTGTTTGTTCCTAGAAGTCTTAGAGGGTGTGAAGTGCCTTGTGGTTGTGATCTCCATTTTCTTGATGATAAATTAATCTTTCCATGTGCCATTTGTATATTCTCTTTGGAGAAATGTCTATTCATAACTCATGTTCATTTTTAATTTGGTTATTTGTCTATTTGTTGTTTAGTTGCAAATTGTGTGATACTGGTCCTTTGTGAGATACATGATTTGCAGATAACTCTTTTCTGTTGTGTGGATTATCTTTTCACCTGTTTGTGTCCTTTGAAACATAAATTTTTAACTTTAATGAAGTCCAGAATAACCATTTTTAACTTTTGTGATTTCAAGTTATGCAAGCCCAGAATCACTGAACCATATCCCCAGCCCTCTTTTTTTTTTTTTAAAGGCAGGTTCTCCTGAATTGCTAAGGCTGGCCTCAAACTTGTGATCCTCTTGCCTTAGCCTCCTGAGTGATGGGATTAGAAGTGTGCGACATTGCACCCGCTAGTATAACTATTTTTTTTTTTTAATGTGCTTGTGTTTTTGATGTCATGCTGAAGAGGAAAATATACCTTATAGCTTTGGTCTTTGTAAGAGTGTTACTTATTACTGGTCTTTTTAAGATTGTTGTTTAAACCCTTGTTTAAATTGTAATATTTCTGTGCTAGGTTTGAAGCTCTTAAGAGTGTAAGCTTGCAATTATCTTGACAAACTGCTGCCTGAGATAAAAGCCACTTTCCTATATTACTTGCAGATGTCTTCTGCTTTGATAAACTGCTTTTTGCAAGAATTCCAAGTTATGGTCTTGGTCACATGGGCCAAAAGTTCAAACCTACCTATGTTGTATTGGTTAAGAAATGATGTGAAATTTCCTATAAAATCCCTGTGTACCCTCAGCTTGGGTCCCAGAATTTCAGAGCACTAGTTCATCTAGGTCTGCCAATGAAAATAAACTTGAGTTCTCCAACTCTCTGAGTGATGCTTGGTCTTTTGTTGAATGCAATTTCCACAACAATGTCTAAGAAACCATTGCTAAATCTAAGATCATGAAGATTTATGCCTTCTTTTTCTTCCCCAAGAGCTTTAAAGTATTAACTCTAATGTTAGATCTTTGTTGTAAGTGAGGTTGAGGTTCGGCTTCTTTCTTTTCCTTGTGGATATCCAGCTACCCCAGCATCATTTGGGTAAAGTCATTGTTTTTTGTTTTTTTGTTTTAATCTTTTATTGATTTTATTTTTTTAAATTCACAACAGCAGTGGAATGCATTACAATTCTTATTACACATATATACCACAACTTTTCATATTTCTGTTTATATATGAAGTATGTTGACACCCAATTTAAGTCTTCATACATGTACTTTGTATAATGATGTCCATCACATTCCACCATCTTTGCTAATCCCCTGCCCACTCCCTTTCCCTCCCACTCCTTTTCTCTATCTAGAATTCATCTAATCCTCCCATGCTCTCCCTCCCTACCCTACTATGAATCAATCTTTATATCAGAGAAAATGTTGGGCATTTTTTTTTTGATTGGCTAACTTCACTTAGTATTATCTTCTCCAACGCCATCCATTTACCTGCAAATGCCATGATTTTGTTCTTTTTAAATGCTGAATAAAATTCCATTGTGTATATATGCCACATTTTTTTAATCCATTCATCCACTGAAGGACATCTAGGTTGGCTCTACAGTTTAGCTATTGTGAATTGTGCTGCTATAAACATTGATGTGGCTGTGTCCCTGTAGTATGCTGTTTTTAAGTATAGTCCAAGGAGAGGAATAGCTGGGTCAAATGGTGGTTCCATTCCCAGATTTCCAAGGAATCCCCATACTGCTTTCCAAATTGGTTGCACCAATTTGCAGTCCCACCAGCAATATATGAATGTACCTTTCTCCCCACATTCTCACCAACACTTGTTGTTTGTCTTCATAATAGCTGCCATTCTGACTGGAGTGAGATGATATATTAGAGTAGTCTTGATTTGCATTTCTGTGATTGCTAGAGAAGATGAGCATTTTTTCACGTATTTGTTGATTGATTGTATATCCTCTTCTGAGAAGTGTCTGTTCAGGTCACTGTTTTTTTCAGTGTTTAGCTCTTTGATTTCTTTATATACCCTAGATATTAGTGCTGTATTTGATGTGTGAGAGGTAAAAATTTGCTCCCTGGATGTAGGCTCCCTATTCACCTCACAGATTGTTTCTTTTGCCTAGAAGAAACTTTTTAGTTTGATTCCATCCCATTTATTGATTCTTGGTTTTAATTCTTGTGCTATGGGAGTCTTATTAAGGAAGTTAGGGCCTAATCCCGCCTGATGAAGATTAGGGCCTACTTTTTTTCTATTAGACGCAGAGTCTCTGGTTTAATTCCTAGGTCCTTGATCCACTTTGAGTTGAGTTCTGTGCATGGTGAGAGATATGATTTAATTTCATTTTGTTGCATATGGATTTCTAGTTTTCCCAGCACCATGTGTTGAAGATGCTATCTTTTCTCCAGTGCATGTTTTTGGCACCTTTGTCTAATATAAGATAATTGTAATTTTGTGGGTTAGTCTTGTGCCCTCTATTTTGTACCATTGGTCTACCAGCCTATTTTGGTGCCAATACCATGCTGTTTTTGTTACTATTGTTCTGTAGTATAGTTTAAGGTCTGGTATAGTGATATCACCTGCTTCACTCTTCCTGTTTAGGATTGCTTTAGCTATTCTGGGTCTCTTTATTTTTCCAGATGAATTTCATGATTGCTTTTTCTATTTCTATGAGGAATGCCATTGGGATTTTTATTGGAATTGCATTAAATCTGTATTGTGCTTTTGGTAGTATGGTCATTTTGATAATATTAATTCAGCCTATCCAAGAGCAAGGTAGATCTTTCCATCTTCTAAAGTCTTCTTTGATTTCTCTCTTTGGGGTTCTGTAGTTTTCATTGTATGGATCTTTCACCTCTTTTGTTAAGTTGATTCCCAAGTATTTTTTTTTTTTTTTTTTTTTTTTTTGGG